GCGAGTAAGATTGCCCCAGAATTTATTCTCGGCATTCAAGAGCCCGATACATCCCCCCACACCAAGGTTCGTGGGCTGGATCGTCGGCAACACCTTTTCTTCGATCAGTCGGCGGCAACAGTCCGCGCTGCTCTTTTTGCTTCCAAATCTCTAGCCATGTGGCCGGTGCCGGCTTTTACGGATGGCGACATGGCTACAGCTCTTTGGAAAACACGTCGACCAGGACTTGAAGAAGTTTACGTCGCTTCAGTATATTTGGACATTACTGCCAAAAAGATCGTCTGGCCACTTCGCCTAGTGCGTCTGGTTGAACACTGCAATAACAGCAACTCTCAGTTGCTCTTGCTGATGGACGCGAACTCTCACTCACCTTGGTGGGGCTCGCCTGAAGCGAACGATAGAGGTAAAATCATGGAGGAACTTATCCTCGTTCATAACTTGGCGGTACTGAACACTGGTTCAAAACCGACCTTTCGTAATCGAAACACTCCCGGTACTCATCCGGATGTTTCGCTCGCAACACCTACTCTTAGTGACCTAGTGTCAAACTGGAGGGTGTCTGACGGCGTTGTAGGATCGGATCATCAAATGATCCTTTTCCACATCGACCTTAAGTCCGCGAAGCCACCGAAGCGACGCAATTTTCACCGTGGCGATTGGGATACTTTCCAGTCACGGATCAACGATTGGCCACGGAAAGAGCCACAACTCTGGTCCGTCCCTATCTTAGAGGAAGAAGCACAAGCTTTCACCTCCAAATTAACGAAGGTGCTGAATACCACTCACCCTCTTCGACGCCAACGCCACTCCGTTTCTTCTCAGAAATGGTGGAGCGGGGAACTAAACAGCCTTCATCATACCATGACAAGGCTACAGAAAACGTTCTACAAAAAACGTTCCGACGAATCCCACGAACGCTTCAAAGAGGCCAGAAGGGCATTCAAAAAAGCTTCCAGACAGGCTAAACGCAAGTCTTGGAAATCGTTCACTGAAGATTCCACCGACCCTAAGAAGGTGGCTCAGCTAATTAAGGTAGTACAGCACCAGGCTAACAAGTCACTGGGCTTACTTCATGACGATCAAGGCCAGACCCTCACTCCAGAGGGTAGCATGAATCTTCTTGCAGACACCCACTTCCCGGGCTGTCTGCCTCGGCCTCTCATCCGCCCGCTGGAACCTCCTCCAGCCTGGCCCCTGAGAGATATCGACCACCCCGATGTGAGTTTTATCACCGCTGAAAGAGTCACAAACGCTGTGCACTCTTTCAACGGATACAAAGCCCCAGGACCCGATGGTATCCCGGCTATAGTTTATCAGAAGTTGGATGATGCGGCACTTAGCCGCCTCACCAACATCTTTAAGGCGAGTGTAATCCTCGGATACACTCCAGCGGCATGGCGTCAGTCAAACGTCATCTACATCCCGAAGCCTGGCAAACCCGATTATGGGGTTGCAAGGGCTTTTCGGCCAATCACACTAATTAACGTAGTGTTTAAATTCCTGGAACGGGTCATATACTGGCACCTCCAGACGTCAGTCTTCTCCACGCACCCGCTGCACAGAAATCAGTTCGGTTTCAGGAAAGGACGAAGCACGGAATCTGCTTTATCCAAACTGACCGGAATCATCGAATCTGCTTTTCAGAACAAGCAATTCGCAATTGGAGTCTTCCTTGATATCCAAGGAGCCTTCGATAACGCCAGACCTGAAAATATCCTTGAAGGTCTCAAAGCTAAGTCAGTACCAGAATTCCTGGTAGACTGGTATAAGCACTATCTGTGCAACCGCTCCATGACAGCCTCTCATGGCGGGGTCACGATAGCCAGACGGTTGACAAGAGGCACGCCACAGGGGGGGGGGTTCTTTCTCCCCTCATGTGGAACGTCTGTTTCGACTCATTTCTTTCCAGATTTGACGAGGGCCTAGTTCACTGCATAGGTTTTGCAGATGACGGGGCCCTCGTCATCTCCGGTCCAAAGCTCCACGTTCTGGCCTCTCGTATGCAGAGGGCCATCAACGCAGCTACTGATTGGGGGGCCTTGCAAAGCCTCACGTTTAGCACAGCTAAAACTACTGCAATGCTGTTTCACAGGAAAGTGGTTCCTACACACCCACCTCCCTTAATGATCAATGGGACTGCCGTCCCCTGGTCCTCAGAAGTCAAGTACTTAGGCTTGACTCTTGATCCCGGACTCACTTGGCATTTACATGTGACACGGCGCACTCAAAAGGCACGAGGTATACTTATTAAATACCGAAATGCCATTGGCAAAATCTGGGGCTCTCCACCCAAGATGTCGAAATGGGCTTACACCGGAGTGGTGCGCCCTATGGTTTCCTATGGTTGCCTGGTCTGGGCCCATGCAGTCGATAGGACTTACACCAAGGCGGCTCTAACGAAACTGAACCGTCTTGCCCTCCTCTCGCTTGGCCACTTTCGCCGCAGTACCCCAACTGCAGGCCTAGAGGTCATGACATTGACGCTCCCTCTGCCTCTCTTCATCAAGCAGACAGCAGCTATCGCGCATAAAAGGACGGAGCTGATGTGTTCCAACACCCATTATGCGCTCCGCCCACGGCACTCCTTCGGACACCGTCAGGTTTCAGCATCGTTCTTAACCAACATTGGCTTTGACGACTTTGAGAGCGACTCCATCCCAACAGTTCAGTCCTGGGACAGACAGTTTGTGGTGGAACTCTGTAGTTTTGCGTCGGGGAAACCTGTCCAGGAGGGGGACTTACACCTCTTCACGGACGGTTCACGACTCAACAACGCATCGGGAAGCGGCTTTGTCGCCCTGGACTCCAAAACAAGGAAGGAGTTGGTCTCTCAACACTTCCATCTTAAACAGGCGACTGTAGCTCAATGTGAGACACACGCCATTAAACGAGCGGCTCACTGGTTGGCCTCCCTCCCAGGACACCGCTCAATCATCCTGTTCTCCGACAGTCAGTCCACCATTAGGGCTCTTGCAAATCCCATGGTGAATTCTAGTCTATTGCTCAACACAATAGAAGCCCTTAACGAAGCCGGCCGCCACCACACGGTCCGTATTCGTTGGATTAAGGCCCATGCCGGACATGATGGGAATGAGCTCGCCGACTCTCTTGCCAAACAAGGAGCGGCTGACCCAAGTAAGGAGGTAACCGATATACCGTACACTCCTTGGAACCTAGTAAAATCCAATATCCAGTCTCTGGTATTGGAATACTGGGACTCGTCCTGGAGCCAACTGACTACTTGTCGTCAGACTAAGCAGTGGTTCCCAAAGATTGACAAGGCTAAATCCAAAAGTCTTCTTGACTTGGGCAGGCGCGAAATCAGCGCCTGCACACAACTAATCACTGGGCACAACTTCATGCGTCGACATGAAGCCATTGTGGCCCAGTACGACACGCAGGAATTCAGCGAATACGCTGAATGCCGCCTCTGCATGGAAGACGAGGAAACCTCCTTCCATATTGTCGCTGAATGCCCTGCGCTACAGCACATTCGCACAGAGTGCTTCAACACTCTGTTTCTGCCCGAACCTGTCGGTGATTGGACGGTTGCGAAGCTGCTGAGGTTCCTGAGGATCTCACCAGTTAGCAATTGCTTTGGACTGGCGGTGGAGGGGGAGCTCGATCCCTCCCATCCTTGGTAGTACGACCCAGAACTCTTCGACGCGGGAATAAAGGACCTCCACTTGGAGGTCTACCCCTGGCGGCCGGGACTTCTGGCCGTACGTCGACATCAACAACAACAACAAAAGAATGGCCGTAATTATTAAGGATCAAAGAAATAAAGGCATTTGGTCTCAAAATATTCCTAAAATACGATAATTAATTATAGTAGAAATAAAGTTTATAGCCCCTAACAAAGAAGAAACTCCTGCTAGATGTAAAGAAAAGATAGCTAAATCCACAGATGCCCCAGAGTGAAACACATGAGACCTCAAAGGAGGGTAAACACAAGATTGAACATATATTTTCATTATCTCCATTTCTTCTGACTTCTTCGTAAAATCTATCATAATTTAATATTTGAACAAATAAGTATATAAAACACATAGAGTAAACGACCATAAAAATTTCAATAGAGGTGATTTTTCTAAATAATAAATAAAGTAGGTATAGTTCTTCTATAGTTTATTTAACTTTTAAATTTGCAATTTAATGTACAAATATACTTTTTAAACTTATAAATAAATCTATGTAATAGTATAAGTTAGAGATAAAGTCTTAGAAAAAATAATAATATAATTTAAATTCATTTTATAAATTAGTTTGAAGATACTAATAAATATTTGGTTAATTTATAAAGAATAATAATTAAAATTGTGTGGATACCGCTTCTAATTTAAGTATATTCAAATTTAGTTTTAAG